TGTACTAACTGTATTGTGTGTTCTCTCTCTGTCTAGTATGTATGTATGTTCTCTCTGTATGGTATTGACTCATGTATGAACTGACTCATTTGTATGTTTCACTGTTCTAGTAATAATATTAGTAACTCCCTAAACTACACCTATTATAGTTTACTAGTAATGTGATTTGCATGTATGAACATGTCTGTATACCTTTGCTGCCCAAAGGTATTAAATAGAAAGAAGGAACTTTTATATCTATATACATATACATAATATATAACTAGGATTCAAACGACCTTCGGACAAATAACCGATACCCTAAGTCCACAACCAAACGAGGAACAGGAGGTAAGGTGAGTTATCAGTCCTAAGTCCTTTCAATCCTACTTATGTAACTATATCTATAAAGATATACATTTAACAGAATATAAGTGCAAAAGAGATTGAATAAAAGTATTTGACATGCAAAAGAGTTTGATAAAAGTATTTGACATGTAAAAGGGTTTGATAAAAGTATTTGACATGTAAAAGGGTTTGATAAAAGTATTTGACATGTAAAAGGGTTTGATAAAACAGTTTGAAAAGTAAGAAATCCACTTGTTTGGTAGTTATTAATCACATGTGATTGATATAATAACTATAAAAGATCAACCTGTATCCCCCCCCCCATAAAAGCATTTAAAATCATTTAAAAGATTGATTAAGGGGTATGAACTCACCTGTAGTGAGTGGTTTGGATGAACGGATAGTATAGGATGTTAAGTGTCAAGTGAAGACTTGAACACACACAAGGATCCTAGTTAACATATAATCACACATATATGTATCCAATTAGTCATTTAGTAACTAACTAACCAAGTTAAGACATCCTAAGACATGTAAAACACTTGATTTTAGTGTTATAAGTACTAAGGATTACATCTAAGGGTTGTAGGACTTGGCTATTGAGTTTGGGGTCCAAGGGTAAACTCTTTTGGAGTTTACGGTTTTGGGACCAACTCTCATTGAGTTTACGGTCGTAAACCCATGAGTTTACGGCCGTAAACTCATGGTACTTTTACCATTTTGTGTTTTGAAGCTTTAAAGGTCATAAGAAGCATTCCTACTTCATGTTTAAGCCTTAGGAAGTGATTAGGGCACCATTTCACCCCTTTGTGGAGTTTACGGTCCTTGGACCATTTCTCCTTGGGTTTACGGCCGTAAACCCAAATGGTTTATGGTATTTTTGATGTTTTAAGTCCTAAGCACATCAAGGATGGTATCTAGACTAGTATCCAAGGCTTGGTAAGGGACTAGGGCACACTTTGGCCCCTTCATTAGGGTTTACGGTCCAAGAATATCTTGGGCCGTAAACACCTTTGATCTTGTGTTTCCTTATGTTTTCTAGATGATTAAGAAGTGTAGCAAGTCTTATAACACACTAGGGTAAGAGTACTTACTATGTAGAAGCTTGAAAATGTGTTAGAAGTCCAAGAACACTAGTGTGTGTTCTTGGTGAAACTTGAAGATTTACACATATGGAATGATTTCACGGATGGAATCATGTAAGATCACTAGATTAAGTAAGATATCAACTTTTTAGGGTAAGAAACACTTACAAAGTTGAAGATCAAGAAGGAAAATCGGATGATACTTGAGAGGATTTGATTTTTGGATCTTGAAAATGTGAAAAAGTGGTAAATATGACTAAGTGTCATATTTATACCCCCTTAGGGTTTACGGCCGTAAACACCTTGTTTAGGCCGTAAACTCCAAACTCTTGGAGTTTTAGGACATTATTGTTGCACAATAAACCCTAGGGTATCCTCTCTCCTGTTATCTCCTGAAGTACTAGGCTTTAGAACACTCAAACTGACTCTACACAGCTCAAAAGTTAGCAGAAACTGTTCTGACTTCTATTGAAGTGAATGGTTGTACATAATCGAAATTTTGGGTTGTCACAGATTCATACGCCAACCAAATAAGAGGTGAAGAAATAACAACCTTTGTTGTTCTTTGGTTCCTCTCGGGAGGCTTGGAAGTTGATGAAGAATGTGCAACCTTTGAGAAACCAACAATGACTCAACTTGATATAGATGCTAGTCCAAAACTCTTAAACTCTTAAGCATGAAGTTCATAACCAATATGAACTTCAAGAGAGCAAAAGATATGCAAGTAATCTTTAATAACTCAAAGCAAAGAAGAGATGGAGAGTCTCCCATGGAGCTCGTAGCCATTAGAAGAAAGAATGAGGCAAAAACTTCAAGAGTGGAAGCCTCATATTTATAGTGCCTAAAAGTGAAGTTATTAACCATTGGTTCCTTCAACTTTAGACAATCTTGTCTCCTTGTCATCAGCATGTCTCTCATGCCTTTAAAGCATGATTAGACAAGTCATACACTTCTTATTTTTATGCATATCTCGAAAATTGCATAAAGAAGAGAAAGAAAGTCTAACTTTTATAAACTCTTTTATAAAATATAAACCTTATCTTTTAGGAAAAAGACAAAAAGGATTCGACTAGTCCAAAAGTCTGTACATAACTTATAAATCATACCATATTATATATATTAAGTTACTTACTAATGAATTTATTATTTACATGAAATAAATAGTTTCCAATTTAATTAAAAGAGTTTTATTGAATATTTATTAAAATCAATTTCTAATAAATAATCAATTGTATCAAGTTGTTGTTAGTGTGACCCATTAGTATCATATGTTATTTACCAATATAACTTTAATATGACTCTTAAGCATACTAGATCTTTCAACATCGGTGTTGATCTTAATGATGATAACAACGACATTAAAGAAATACAACCTTCCCCTCATCCCATAGGAAGGGAGAAAGCTAAAGCTCGAAGAAAAGGAAAAGCGACATCTTCAAATTCGCCGGTCGGAACTGGATGGTTAACCAAATCGGAGGAAATGATGACACAATTGAATACAACTTTGGAGAAATGTATGACTGAATCGTTCGACTCACAAAATATTCATTGTTAATGCAAAACATAAGGCACCTCGACCCCGAATATCAAGAAGCGGCTAAGGCGACAAAGCATCGCTTTGAGAAAAAATATAATCTACAACGCAAATGAAATTCTAATGTTATGTTTTTTTCTAGGTTTTTTTAATGTAATTTTTCATTTCGTGTTATTTTTTTTCTAGGTTTTTTAATATAATTTTTTTCATGTTATTTTTTATAGGTTTTCTAAAATGTAATTTTTAATTTCATGTTGGTTTTTACTAAAAAGTTAATATTTTACTTAGTATGAAATAAAAAAAGTTCATAGGTAAAATCATCACCACACCCTAGTCGTAGGCAAAAATTGGTAAAAATAGTAAATTCTTATATGGCGCCTATGTGACATACTTTTTTCAAGGTTGTACAAAACGTTCGACGTTAGCTAGTTGGTGGATTGAGGTTAATGGATTAATCGACTAGGCGAGAATTATTTGTGGGATTAATCAGGGACCATAAATTACTAACTAGTTGAATTTTAAAAATTTAAATATGGCTAATATCATAACAAAGTTCGTAAATACTAATAGCTTGAATACAAAATAGGTTAGTATGATTAACACAACGATAATCATTCATTAAATAGTTTGTATTGAAAGTGAACTTCTTCAACGTGTTAAAATTTCATCATTTTTTACTATTGCACTCATTGTGTAGGCTAGGGGTGTTGAAAGATCGGTTCGGTTCGGATAGTAATAAAATTGTGAACTGTAACCACTGGGTGAGTACCTTACATGCACTAATCGAAACCTAACCGAATTCCTAAAAAAAATCAAACCGAACCGAACCGCTTGAAGGCGGGTAACCACAGTTCGATTCATGGGTACCCGCTAAATATAAAAAAATAAGAATCAATCTAACCTATAAACTATAAAAAAAACCATAGGAGTCTGAAAGAAAATATCATCTTTTGTTAATAAAACATATATTTTATGAATCAAATATATAAACATAAACTTATATGTAATAGAATTTTTTATCGATAAAAAACATAAAAAAAACATACAGACACACTTTATAGTTTATGAAGCTTACAATTTTAATTTCGAATGGGTAGTAGGCTATATATATATATATATATATATATATATATATATATATATATATATATATATATATATATTATTTAGTAATTTACTTAAACGTATCAATTTGAAAGTCAGAGATCAAACAAAATTCAATTATATATATATATATATATATATATATATATATATAGAGAGAGAGAGAGAGAGAAAGAAAGATAGAGAAAGTTTGGTTCGTGTATATATATATATATATATATATATATATATATATATATATATATATATATATATATATATATATATATATAACGGTTCGGTTCGGTTATTCGTGGTTATCTAAATATCCAAATTGAAACCGATCTATAGGTCACTCTGTTTTTTCAGTTTCATTTTTTTCGGTTTCGAGTTGATAGGATCGTCTCGATTTTGCGGTTTTTTTTTTTGCACACCTTTACTGTAGGCAGATATTAATCCATAAGCACCCTTTAATCGGTTGAGTAACACCTAGGGAATAATCGGAACTTAGTCAAGTTTTTTTGTAACAATGCCTTTTTTTCTTAGGCAAAAGATCACTAACACCCTTTATCCTTAGTAAAAAGAACCATATGTAAAAAAATATATATAAATAAAATAATAATAATAATAAAAAACTAAAAATAAAAAATAAAAAATCATTTACTACCCCCGTTGTAAGCAAAAAAAAAAAAAAAAAAAAAAAAAAACCGAAATAATATTAATTTTAGTTTTTTCAAACCTTTTTTTTATTTAAATACCCTACGGTTTAAAGATAAACTTTTTGTGGCTTGTGGCTTATAAGATATAAAATTAATCCAAGGCACCTTAATATACTTTATACAAATTTAGAAGCCAGTTTCCAAGAACCTACGTTTTGCTCCCCACCGTTCATACGTGCATGTACCGGTCCATCCATATATATACACGCCAATATACCATCAACCCACAAACCACTTCACATAAATCACATAATGGAACATTTCAATTTGTGCTCCTCCTCCTCCGATTCATCTTCTTCAGACACTTCTCATTCGCCTCACAAAACCCAGCACTCTACCGATCTTCATACGATCAAGGGCCCATGGACTAGTGAAGAAGACAAGATCCTTACTCGACTTGTTGAACGTTCCGGGCCCTGTAACTGGTCGCTTATCAGTAAGTACATCAAGGGTCGATCAGCTAAGTCTTGTAGACTTCGATGGTGTAATCAGCTTTGCCCCAATGTCCACCATCGCCCCTTTTCTTGCGATGAAGATAACACCATTTTGGTCGCACATGCCCAGTATGGGAACAGATGGGCAACCATTGCTCGATTGCTCCCTGGTCGGACTGATAATGCAGTGAAGAACCATTGGAACTCTACGTTGAAGAGACGGCGGTTTGAGAATCAGGAGGTGGTTGCTGACGGTGGTGATTTTAAGATGAGTTTGAACTGTGGTAGTACTAGTTTTTCTACATCGGGATCTCCGTCGAATGTGGGTGCTGCCGCTGCTGATGAGTATGATCCGATGACTACTTTGTCTCTGGCACCGCCGGGGATGGGTGTATGTGAAAGTGAAACGACGGAAGGATTACCGAATGAGTTTTGGGATGTGTTGAGAGATGTCATCGCCAGGGAGGTGAGGGAGTATCTTTCTACTTCCTTCCCCGAGACTTCTGCGTTCCATTGACAATTTTTTTTTTCCGATAACTAAGTGTTGATTTATTAAATTGTAACATTTCATCTTGATGTTAATTATAGATAATGAAAGTAGGTAACTAGCAAGTTGACTATTGATTTACTTATGATGTGATTAACTTTACCCTGTTTGACATTTTCTATTGCTTTATTTATTTACTTAATTTGTTATCAGTTAGTTATAGAATAGATTGGATCATCTTTATTTACATGTGCTAGAAATTTACATTTTTGATTAATTTTCATTGAGGTGTGAAACTATATAAACTCAAGGATTCATAAACTAAGGTAATTTTCATTTAATTTATACTATTGTTATCAATTGTTTACAAATCAAAGGATGTAACATTCGTATTTACCAAGCTATCTCTTTTTGGTACGATCAATGTATTATAAGTATCTTAAAAGGTTAAACTCATAGGATAAAAACATATTTTGTTATGTCACATGTAGTTTTTAAACCCTTTTTTTGGTTCATTACTGCAAAATTTTGAACACACAAATGATTTTGTTTAAAAATGTTACAGAATGATACATCGATTTAGGGATATTTTACCGCATCTTGAATCTCTAGTGGTTGACAGAGGCGATAAGGTTTTATTTAATAATGCGTAAAACTAATCACACGACCAACAAAAAGGTTAGACGATAGGGGATCGCCTAGGGACCATCATTCCATGAGGCCCAAAAATTTTATGGCCTATGTAATATTGTTATATGTTGGTGATTTTAGTGTCACCATGTCATTTTATGTAACTGCAATTAGCATATAAGCTAAAATGCTTCATAATTTGTACTCTAATATATGTACGGGTTGGTGCGGAGTGCACACATATATAAGATCGAATTAGAAGACGGTTCGACGACAAGTCGAGGGTACGGGGGCAGCGACCCTGGGTCCGGGGTTTCCAAAGGGGCGGCGATCCTTTGGCGGGGTCTAGGGGCAGCGCCCCTAGCGGGGTCCAAGGGGTAGCGCCCCAAAGCCTCACCGAATTTTACATATGGGAACATAGTGGAAAATTCATATTCTTGAGGGTGATTATGGTAAAACTAACGAAACTCGTTAGTTTTGGTAACCCTAAATCCTCATTAATTCGGATTACCCTGACTTGCTTCCAAAGCAACTAATGACGATCCAACCCTAATGAACAACAAAGATAGAAGACATATGACACAACCATTAAAGCAATACTTTTTTCTTGATAATATTACTCATGATTTAGTTTAGAAAAAATCACAAAAATGGTCCCTATGGTTTACTAAAAGTCACAAACTTAGTTCCTATAAATTTTTTTTGATGCAAATGGTCCTTGTGGTTTGCAAAACTTGCATGGATAGCCCTTTTTACTAACTCCGTTAAAATATTGTCGTTAGTGCATCCCATGTAGGGGTATTTTAGTCTTTTCAAGTATAGGAGGGACTGAATTCGTTACATTTAGCAAACCAAAGGGACCTGTTTTGTTATTTGCCTTAAAAAAGTCAAGAAACTAAGGGGGTAGGATTTGAACTCGAGTCTTCTACAGCACCCCTTTCCACCAAGATAACAACCAACTTGTGCTTGTATGTCTGAAACAGTAAATATAAAGTGTCGTCCTTCTTTTTCTATTAACAATTTTGTTTTTAATTGAATTTTAATTTTAATTATTATTATTAATAATAATATTATTTTTATTATAATATAAATTCATTTTTATGAAAGTATAAATACAGTTTTATGTATAAATATTTAAAAAACATATTTATATCTCCATAAAAACGTTATTTTTATATATTATTATTATTTTTTTATTTAAAAACATTATTTTTGTTTATAAATTCATATTTATATATTTAAAGTTATATTAAAATGCTTCAAAATATATAAATAAGTTACTAAGGGCATACAAATGTGTGTATATATAATTATTAATTTTAAAAATCTATATACATATTGATACGTATTTATATGTATTTATACATTTTAAAGACGTGTAAATACATGTAAACATGTTTTTAAAATGTGTGAACACATATAAATACGTTTTAAAAACATATAAACATACTAATATTTTTCTAAATTATATAAATTCATATAAAAACGTTTTTAATATGCATAAATTTGTTTCAAATGTTTAAATACATAAAAATATGTATAAATGCATAAATGTATTTTTTTTAATGAATAAATATGTATGCATACGTTTTTATATCTTTACGAACTTATTTATAAATCATGAAGCTTCTTTATATAATATTAAATATATAAATACGGTTTTAAAGATAGAAATATATTTTTAAAAATAAAAACAAATCATGTTTTTAAATATATAAATACGTTCTTATACATTTATAAAATATGGTTATGTAATAATAATAATAATAATAATAATAATAATAATAATAATAATAAAAGTAAGAATAATAATAATAATCAATATTTATATTAATAATAGTGATAATAATGATAAAATGATTCGTTCGGTTATTGTTATATTAATTATGTTTTTCAAACAAACTTCGAAAATAGTCCTTGTTAGTTAGTAAAAATAGTCATCTTTGCAAGTTTTACAAATCACAAGGACCATTTACATTAAAAAAAAATTTATAAGGACTAGGTTTGTGACTTTTAGTAAACCACAGGGACCATTTGTAATTTTGTCTTTAGTTTATATCTAAAAAACTAAAAGAAATTAGAAATATTTTCCTTTAATGAAACTTATGTTAAATTAATCGAACAATTAAAAATATATTATCTTTGTATGCATCGAGAAAAGTTTGATAGTTTAAGTAGGAAAAATTGAAAACATGCGTCGCTATTATATGAAGATAATTGTATATATGATATAATCGATTCGTTTCATTTTGAAACTTATTTTATCATATACGTATTTTTAATTTGGTTCATCACATATTTACATTTATACAGTTAATCTTTTTAAATAGAGTAAATTACACGAATGGTCCCTATGGTTTAGGGTAATTTGCGCATATGGTCCCTAACTTATTTTTTTAACTTGGAATGTCCCTATTGTTTGTTTTTGTTACGTGCTTGGTCCCTGTATTACCTAAAAAGAAAATTTTGCCATTGATTTTTTAATTTATTTAAATAAACACACCCCCAACCCCATCCCCCCTCACCTTACCTTACATACCCCACAATTTTCCCTATTAAAATAATATTCTTTTTAGGTAAGACAGGGACTAAACGCGTAACAAAAACAAAGAGTAGGGACCAAGCGCGTAAAAAACAAACAATAGAGACCTTCCGAGTTAAAAAAAGAAGTTAGAGACCAAGCGCGCAAGTTACCCCAAACTATAGGGACCATTCGTATAATTTACTCTTTTAAATAAAGTAGAGATCAAAATATTCTTTGAAGATATAAAATAAAAGAGAAAGGACAAAACATGCGGTACGGGCCTTGGCGGTGTGTTCCGATATTCAACACTCTTTCTTTTGGAAAGTAGTCAGTCAAGTGTCCACTGTCCAGTGCCTCTTGTTCATGTTATAAACGTGGTGATAACCAATTTCACACGCTAAGTCGCTAACTAAATATTTTTATTTATTTAGCTTAAAACACGTGAACATATTTACTTGAGTTTTCTAACTAAAAGGTAGCAAATCTTTTTGGAAAATAATTACCAAGTAATGGTACATTAAAATGCTTTAATTTTCAAATGTTAGCTATCATCGTACAACGAATGAGAAGATAATTGATAACCGGTTGCACCGCTAAGCTTTTTTTTATGGTAAAGTCAATTCGTATGAAGACTACAACTATTGATCTAGGGGATACGACATTGTTATGCATGATCCGTTGTACTCTATTAAGAAGCTGCACCGCATCCGGCGCAAGAAAATCAAACATATCAAATGCAAATGATATGAACATGTGTTGATTTTCCATGAACGAATTCTCATGTTTTGTGATCTTACATGTAGCAGCTTTTAATGCAGCATGTCCCGCCGTGAAACCCCCGACCCTCCAGCCTACGATAGGGGATACCCCTGTAAGGTCCACACTTAAAATTTCAATTTTTTATTGTTTAAAGGAAAAGGAAAAACAATGTTCCAAAACTATCACTTATTCTCCATTACTTCATATGACCTTGTTGTCTTGTTATTGTCGTTTTTGCCTCAGCCCTCATGCATGCCATTCCATTCCCCCTAAAAATACGATGATTACAGTGCAATTCAACTACAAACAAAGAAGCATTTATACTTGGCAAAACAATATGAGATTTACATTTCGACAACGACATCATCGATCTAAAGCAACAAAATTGATGTGGCCATCTTTCCCTCGCAAGATATTCTCGCACGTTATGTCTTACATGTTTCTTCCTCGCTACTCAATGTTCCTCATTATACGTACTATTGCTTAATCTTTGCCAACTAGGTCGAAATCGTTGTCCAGGGTTAGAAATTTTTGACATCTATTTGGTCCTCTACGACAACACTGAATGTGGAAAGGTAACTTACATCCATATGCAATGTTTCATACTATTGCTTAATCTTTGGCTACTATCCGGTGGAATTAGAGATTACATTCTACAAGTTGTCAATTTTTTATATGTTCTTTATTGTAAAGCTAATTTATCCGGTAATGGTCCTTAGATAGGTTAATGACCATGGTCCATTGTTCATATTATGGCTAAGCTTGATTTAGGGATTTTTGGAACAAATTTGTTGTTTGTTTCCGATGATTGGGATATCAAATTTAAGTTTACACCAAAGGATTAAGGGTAATTTTACATCCTTCTTAAATTTTTTTCGCCTTTTCATCTTCAATAATATATTTTTTTTTAAATGTTTTGGTTCATATTTCCTCATGTGATTTTCTTTTGTCATTTTTCTCTCACACCGTCTTCTTCTCCATAACGACGATAAAAGGCAAGGCGACAACAACAGTGGAAAGAAAATGATGAATGGTAATTGTAACACCCTGTCCTGAATCGTTCTCATTTGGGTGTGGGTGACGTTATTCAGATGATCTGGGTGTTCAGTTTGTGTTT